CAACGTTCCTAGGCGGAAAACCAACCTTGCAACATGGGGACTAACGTCCCAGTAAGTTGGAAACAGGAAGTCTTGTGAGAAGCGAGAACGAGCGAGAAACACAAAATGCTTTATGGCAATTCGACATAAACACACACGCCGCCCTCAATGTGTATGATGTATTACCCACCTCGGTATAGCTCCACACGATAAAGTTGGCCGGCTCCGATAATAACAAATGCACATGAGCAGCGGTAGAAAGGGGGAGGAGGGGCCGCAAGTGAGTTTTTTTACAACATTGTTGTGAAATATACATCCCACAGCTGTAGGGGGAGCTCGTTGAGAAAACATGCGACAACAAAAGTGAAAATCAGCGAAGAAATAGCTAGAGTTGCTGAGTTCCCCTTTAAAAACCCATCTTTTTTTAGTGTAGCTAACATTAGCTAGCTAGAATAGAATATGTCGACAGCTAGCTAGCTAATAGTATTGGATATGTTTCTCTTTCTCACAAGTAATTTCTCACTAGGATTTCGTGGTCAAGTAACCATAGCCTAATATTCAAATATTATGTCCAGTTATCTTTTACAAAATATCAAATATTTTCTGTGGTTAAAATAAAATAAGACTTGCATCAAATATACAAAAGCAGCAGTGTTGAATTGTGAAATGTGTGGCAGGTGAATAGTATTATGTAATAATACCATAGTAATAGTATTTATGCAGTAAATATGTTCCTACTTGCAAATATGTGCAAATATCAAAGGTTTCTATATGGGTCATTTTTGACCCATGTATGTAAAATGTATGTAGAAATACAAAAACTCTGTTTGTATATAAAGTAAGAAAGAAAACATAAATATCAATATTTAATGAATATCTGGAATAACAAATGATAAAATGCATATATTTTAAAGATTCAGCAAAGAAACACTCAGCCATGACTGAAATAACATAGGAAATGAATACGGGTCATTTTAGACCCATGTATGTAAAATTGATGTAGAAATACAAAAACTGTGTTTGTTTATAAAGTAAGAAAGGAAACATAAACATAATGATTTGTGGAAATCAAAAACAAGATATTTAATGAATACATGGAATAACAAATGATAAAATACATATATTTTAAAGATTCAGCAAAGAAAACACTCAGCCATCACTGAAATAACATAGGAAATGAATACGGGTCTTTTTAGACCCATGTTGCGCATTAGAAGGGTTGTGATACAAAAACTATTTTTATTCAAAAAGTAAGAAAGTAAAAATAAAAATAAGGATTTGTGATGATCAAAAACAAGTTAATTGAGGAATACCTGGAATACTGAATGATGAAATTAATTTCTTGCAAAGATATAGAAAATTAAAACTCAGTCGGGTCTATTTAGACCCATGTTGTGCATCAAAGGGTTAAGCAAAGTCTCCTACTATGCATGTAAATTTTGCTTGGTCCTCCCCCTAATTATTGCTTCACATCCTTAGTGGGTTACAGCCTCTGTTGCTTTTTAAAGTCCCCCTGTAGTCCATATTTTATACCTTAAAACTCATCTTTGGATGCCAAAATGACAATACACCCTTGCTTCATTTAGTAGGGATCATTTAGTAGGATCTATCGCAGCCTCTACTCAATCACACCAATTCAGAATACCTGATCCACTCAGTTAACTTTACTGTAGTAAACGCTGCACAATGGCAAGTGGAAATACTGCTATTGCCTAATTCATGTTTAACATGTATGAAACAGAAACTGATGCTGAAGAAGTGGATGAGTGAATTATACATCGTCTATAAGCCGATATATCAGAATGGTAATACATTTAATGTATCGCTCTCTACAATGTCAGACACATAACAGTAATTGATATGATTAGCCTTTGGCTATGTTATCAAACCGCTAATTATGTTACACAAACCATGTTCTCGTTCACCCTCTCAGAGTCAGACTGCTCCCTTCTAACAAACAACTTAAGACATCAGTGGAGAAAGGCAGTAGTTCATAATATACATCATATACATAATTTACCAGCTATATTGCTAAAATTACCAGATTTTTAATATCAACAGAAAAATATACTGGGGTAACCTGGTTTCTCTTGAGACTCCCCTGCTTCAGAGCAGTTAATGATATGCTAAAGCCCGCCCACACAATGATTAGTTACAACATGCTTGTGACGTAGAGAACAACTGTGATTTCAAACCACGTCTTTTTCACTGCAGTTGAAAGAACAAAATACTCAGAATTGGTGTTGACTTATGAATTTGCACATGTTTTGTCTTAAAGCCCAACACAGACATATAAACAACATTAAAAACCGACTTTAAATATTGTCAGAAATATTTCACCTGGTCAGTCAGATTAATTAGTGAAAGATCATGTGCTAGTGACAGGATTAAACCCCATTACAATGTGTGTTATCAGATGGATTTTCTGTTATCTCTAGGGACCAACGAGATTAATCACAAACCGCTCAGTAAAGTGCTCAGTTTCATGTTTTCTGACCACCAATTTCACTAATTAGTTGTTGCTAAACAGATAGTGTCCCTTAGGATGTATATGGAGAGTTTTGTTAAAATGTGTTTTGAAATGGGTAATTTATGGGGTCTGAAATTAAGTGATATATATATATATATATATATGTGGTTTTGTATTTTTTTCCTATAAAGTAATTGTTGAATTAGATGATTAAGCAAATAAAATGCTGTCTGTTTTCCTTTTTTTTAAGTATGTGGATTTTCCAGAATTGTGCTGTTGCATGACTGTCAACTGTTAAGACTGATACACCGATAAGCCTTGTGAGAAGGTGATGCTGTATATGACTTGAGCCAATTACATTGCAGGTTGCAGTTCAAGCCTTAAAATGGGCGGGTTTTATACGTCCCCTAATCCCATGTGTAAGAAATACCTGCGTTATAGTCCTGGTTACTTCAAGAACAGCCAAGAGCTGTGTACATATCTTTCTTACCTTGCCTTTAAGTTTTTAGTTTTCATGTTTTTTTTATTAAGGTGAACATGTTGTGTTTGTACCTTTACGTGCCTGTCCATATCTCAGAACGGCTAGAATTTGAGTATTTTGAGTCTGATAGTTTACCGGCACAGCTGAAGTCCCTTTTTAAGTTGAGTTTATTTCTTCCATCACAAGAGTTTGATTCTTACAGGAAATGGCGAAAGGTATGTTATCTGTATTATTATGTTGAAAAAAGATTGGGTTGTGTGTTTCTTGATGTAATAACATTTTGTTTGGCCCAGCCTCAAACAGTTTTATTTTAGTATTATTTATATACTATTATAATATTTATTAATATTTTGAATTCGTTTTTATTTTGTATGTTTAGTCATTTATCATTTTTCTATTTAGGTTTTAATTATTGTCATTTCAGTTTTAGTTTTTTAGTAGTTTACTTTTATATCTGTTATTTCAGTAAATTTGACCTAATGTCAAATTATTTGTTTCAGTTACTTGCCAAGGTAACATTTCAAAAAAAAAAAAAAATTAAGTTACTTTTAAATTACCGAAAATTATTTGTAATGGTTTTAGTTACCAAAACCGTAACCTATGGGTTTGGTGTTTTATAGAAATTGAGGAAAATTTGTTTCAATGTCAAAAAAGTCCTTATGAGCCCAAGACCTGTTGTCTTTCTTGTCCATTCATCTAAAGACTTGATTTGTAATGGGATGAATCAGTTTAATCCAGATTATTTGACTTCCGTGTTTGAACTGCATTTAGAATCCCTTCCTGTGTCCTTTACAGAGTGTGAGCTAACTTTTATGTTTATGCCTAAATGGCTTGCACAAAATGTCAATATTCAATATTGTAAACTTAAAGGAACTTTAATATTTATGTTATAGAATTTAATAGTCAGATTGCAAGCATTTCTTTCTGTTTCCCTTCTGGTTCTTCAGATTCATTCTATTAGAGAATTGATGGTCGTTGTCACACAGACCATCTGAACTTCAGAAGGCTAATAACCCCCAAATCTCGTTTCCATTCTCATGACCCACTTGTCTGCAGTTGAGTCATTGCAGCGTCCGGATTGAGTGTGTGAAGACGATGGCTATCTTTAAGCTACTTTACACTGACAGGGCTATTTGAGACTTGGCTGGAGGCCTGTGATCTTGACGGTCTGAAATGATGCTCATTAGACTGTCAGACATGACATATTCTGAATGGCTTCTTGATTACATGTACCTGTCCGTCATGGCCATTTTAATCAGCAATTTCTCTTGAATGATGATTAATTAATGGATTATTATAATTGTTGTTGTTATCATGTTTGCTTACTATAGTTAACAGTATGGCCTCCTGTATAGATTTAATGAGCACAGTTCATTCATGAAAAAATGACTATTTATGGACTGTATGTGCTTGAATGGCTATGAGTTCTTGTAGTCTTTGTACAGTAGAGGGGGAATTTTAGTTTATTCAGACACTTCTACACTTTTTTTTTAGCTAAGGTATCATTATGCACTAGTCTCTAATCTCATAATAGTAAGTAACATAAATGATCTGACTCCGTGTTCTAGTTTTCAGTGGCTCATTCTGAAGTGCTGATGTCACTGGGTGGGTGGGGTGTTCATTTGTCTGCTTGTGGTTGAAAAAGTTTAGTAGTCGACAGACCAATGATTTTGTCACCCCATAAGGTACACGCACTGTCTGAGCAACATCAGCCATTAAAACTGGAAACGCATTCTCTTTTGTTTCTGTCCTTCCAGAACACTTCAGGTCAATGATTAATTCTTCTTTTCCATCTCCTTCCATTACCTCCAATTATATGCTGCTCAATGGTTCAGACAGCTTGTGTCCTAAAGGTCAAACGTTGTCAAGATGGCCCTCATGAAGCTGATGCTCATGAGAATGTTAAACATGGTCCATTCAATGCTATCTTCAACAAACAAAGACCATATGTCTGTCCCTAGTGCCCCATCAGCTCAACACCCCGAACAACACCGGCTCACTGTCCTCAAAAAAATGTGTTCTCTCTTGAGGGACTCTCTTTTGATGTTGATTTCTGCATATGTGTTTCAGAAAATCGTCAAGGCTGGAGACAAAGACTTGGATGGCCAGTTGGACTTTGAGGAGTTTGTGCACTACCTGAGGGACCATGAGAAGAAACTGAGGCTGGTCTTCAAGAGTCTTGACAGAAAGAACGATGGTAAGTTTTTATGCCATGAATTATAGATGTTTTTGATGCAAAACAAACCAATTGAATGTACTGAAAGACTGCATGTATCATGCAGCATCAGTACTTTTACATACAAGATTGTGTAATACAGTGTTCTCAGGTGCCTAATGTGTTTAGATCAGAGGATCTCAACTTTTTTGACTCTAATGCTCGCCAGTATTCAAACAATAAAAGGGTATGCATTGATGTCACTTTCCCGCCGGAACACCCCCCTCAGCTGGACTGAGTGGCAAAAGAGCTGCTGCGTGACTGGATTTAATAGCGGAAACTGTGAAAATGCGAGTGAAACAAACGATTATCAGTTGTAACTAAAGGTTGGACTTGATAGTGTTCTTTACAACTTACCAAAGATCCAGTGATCCATAGATATTGACATGCAGCCAGGAATCATGTTTCCTGACATTTATTTGTGCCTGATTTCGACGTCGGGGAAATACATAAAGAAAATTTTCCTGTGAACGTTTATATAAAAACAATGTAAGTAGGTCTAAATCCGGGTGATCACTTATTTCAATGTTATATATATCGTCATATCGTCCAGCCCTAGAACGTGTATAGTTTTTGTCTGTGTTTATTTAAAAACATCCTATTATGCAGAATATAATTGATGAGTTATCAATACAATATATAACAGTACAATATATAGGATATGATTTTACCCCTAAATTCAGCATATTGACACAAAATGATAACTGCAAATCCACGTTTCGCTTCCTGGAGTCTTCCCAATGTGAATTGCAGCTATCCATTTGCTTCTCTTTTCTGTAGCTTTCACAGATATATACTTCTAAATATACTTCAGATTTCATGTCAAATCTATTTTTACAGTCAATCTCAAAGCTATTTCCCGGTTTAGATGTGTTTTGTGTGTGTTTTTTTGTGGCACTCACGCTGAAAACCAATGCTGCCACTGTTTTTTTGCCACTCAGTGGGCGTAACCGCAGTCTCTCTGGGCGACGGTGACATCATGTGCATTACTGGATAAGGATTTTAGACAAATTACAATTACATTTTCTACCCAATAAACAAAAAGTAAAAAAAACAACATTTTCCAGGTCTAGAAATCACACTTTTAAAATTAGGCTACCTCATACATTCAGTTTTTTCAAAACAGTGGAATTGTTGTTGGAACAGCAGTTGTTGAGAGGGTGAATTTAAATAGTATCTTGATTTTTAGTTGTTTTGGCCCCTTAAGTCATCTTAAGGCCCCCTTGGAAGTTTGCTGAGGTCCTCTAGTGGTCTCCTTTTTGAGAGCCACATTTTTAGATGTTGAAGACCCCCTAAGTTTTTAATGTTGTTTATATGTCTATGTGTTGTTTTTAATATGCTTTAAGACAAACCATGTGCAAATTCAGTACCATTGCTGAGTATTTTCTCCTTAATCCAGTGAATCAAAGACAGTCTCAAAAATGCGGTTTAAAATCTCAGTTTTTTCTTACGTCACAAACTACCTTGTCAACAATCACGTCAACATGCGGGTGGACTTTAGCATATCATTAACTTCTCTGAAGCAGGGGAGTCTCAAGAGAAGCCAGCAGGTTATCCTGCTATATTTTTCTGTTGATATTAAAAATCTGGTAATTTTAGCAATTTTACATTTTAGCAATATAGTGGGTGAATTACGTATATGATGTATGTTACGATGTTATGATGATCTACAGTACCGGTATATGCCTTTTTCCACTGACGTTCTATGATGTTCAAAGCGTTTCTAAGGATACTGATTTTTTAGAAGGCAGCTTGCGTAACAGCTTGGTTTGTGTAACATTTAACAACACTATTAGCTGTTTGATAACGTTGTCAATCAAAAGGCTAATCATATTACCGTAATTACCTTTATGTGTTTGATGTTGTAAAGAATGATACCATTGTGGAGCGTTTACCTCAGTAAGTTGACCGAGTGAATCTCTGAGCTAGTGTGAGTGAGTGAAGGCGGGAATAATTAGCATTTTTATGGATCCGAGTATACTAAATGACCAAAGGGTGTTACTTTCAAGCTATTTTAAGGCATGAAAACATTTTTTGTAACTTGGTTTTTACAAAAACTGTTTTGAGTTTTAAAACTTGCAGGATATTTTTTATAGTAGAATGACCTCTTATATGTCAAAAGATCGATTGATTTCTCAATTCATGACCCCTTTAAAATGGACAATTGTTTCACCACATATTCTTTTAAATCTGCAGGTCGCATAGACTCACAGGAGATCATGCAGTCACTAAGAGACCTTGGGGTTCATATATCTGAGGAACAGGCTGAAAAGATCCTCAAGAGGTAACTGGCTTTTATCTTCCAATCTCCCTCTTTCTCTTAAGTCTTTTATACCTAGCTAATGATTCAGGCCTAACTGATCTGTATAGTGTTGAGGTGACTGAGAAACCTGAACCAGCACAGTTTATACAGTTCTCATTTTTCAGCATGTTTCTTTGACATTTTTTGACCAGTCAATTCCAAAAAGTTTTCAATTAAACGAAGCACTGACTATAATAAAAGTTATTTTTTATTTTCTGTCTGTGTGACTGTGTACGTGTCTTTGGTCGTACGCTGTTTCTTTATCACTCTCTCCTTCTTGTGATCCCACACCCACTCTCTCTCTGCTCATCTTATCAGAATAAGGAGGGGTAATATATGTGCCCCTATAATGTAGTAAGTAGCTGTCTTTTCCCTGCATGTTTGCCTTGCTCTGCATTTGCATTTCATCTACTTTCATCTCTGCGATTTCATGTTGCATATTTGATATTCTCTCTCTCTCTCAGAAGCTGTTTTTTCCCATATGGGTGATGCTTTTGAAATATTGAATAAGCCAATGATTTATATATTTAAGGGGTTTTGAAAGTCAATAATAGAACTTTTAGCAAAAGAAAACGTTCTTAAAATTATTAAAGAAGGAATTCAAAATAAAAAGGCTGGGACGTTTGTGCATGTAAATAATTTTATTTTCTAGTCGCTTGACTGTATATGCTTAATTTTGGTAGAAGTAATGCAGGTCTAAGTAGTTTCTTATCTAAGTGCAGGTTGGTCTTATTTAAAAAATCAACAGCTGCTAGTACCAAGAGCCAAAAAAGTGCTTGCAAGAAATGGACATTTTATTTAGTTTTGGTCTCTTTGTTTTTTCTTTATTTGAATAGTATGGATAAAAACGGTACGATGACGATTGACTGGAATGAGTGGAGAGATTACCACCTGCTTCACCCTGCTGAGAACATTCCTGAAATCATCCTCTACTGGAAACACTCCACGGTAAAACACAACCACACCGTCCTGCCATGTAGTTCAAAGTTCCCAGCTTTGCTTTCAGTGCCGACTGTCTCTCATTGCTCCTTTTAGGAGGTTTTATTAACTTTTTATAGTCTCTTTGTTGTGTAAATTGCCCTGACTTGCAACACTGACATACTGTACACCAGACATCTCGTTAAAACTGGAGATGCTCTTCCACCTTAGTCATTCGGTCCTACTAAGCCTCTGCTTAGTTAAATTTGTTTCCTTGCACCTGAAATACTCCATGAATGGGACAAAAGGACGTCACTGTGATCCAGTCTGATCCTGTTAAACAGATCAACAGTGTTTTGACGTCACTGACAAGACCTTTTTGACACAGGAGAGGTAGATGTATTCCACCTCATGGATTATTCTAGCACCCAGGTGAACAGATAAGTCAATGTCAGTTTGATTTGAAAATGAAAAGCCAATTATTTCTGGATTACTTTTATTATGTTATCACAAATTCAGTATGTTATTTGTTAAAAAAAATTAATAAAATATAAAAAAATAAAAATGGATATTACAAAAAAGACAGAACTAAATTTAAAAATGTAAAAATACTCATGGTGAAGAAGAGTAAAGCCAGGTGCACACTGTGTGATTTATAATGGTCCTTTACGATTGTTGCATGTCATGATCCTCACTGTAAGCCATGCCACACTATAAGATCTCAGTTGTCATTAATGTCAGACTGTACAAGTCAAGACGCGTTAAAAACATACATTTTTGTCATGGCTTGTCTTGAAAAACAAAGACAATTTGACGGTCGTCGTAGAAGGCACACTGCAGGACTGTGAGTCAACTATTCTGACTTTGCCAGAATTTCGTCGGATGTAAAATTTGATCGCAACGGTCATTAATCGGCTGTCAGTGAACATGTCAAACTAACTGTCAAAGACTTCAGATTTTAGCCTAGGATCAGAGGAATCTTGTAGGATTTGCAAAATTTGTCTCAGATTTGTCCCAAATTGGCCAAAATCATACAGTGTGAACCTGGCTTAAGACCGATATCTCTCATCTTTCAATTATTATATTCTCTCAAATATTTCTAGTACTAATGATAAATCACCTTACTGGTTGATTGTCCATTCATTTTGTTCTCACTGTACATGATGTCATTTCCTCTGCACAGATATTTGATGTAGGGGAAAGTATGATAGTCCCTGATGAGTTTACAGCAGAGGAGAAGAAAACGGGCATGTTGTGGCGACACCTGGTAGCAGGAGGTGGAGCAGGTGCTGTGTCCCGTACCTGTACTGCACCTCTGGACCGCCTAAAAGTTCTCATGCAGGTATGAGACATGTATAGAACATAGCACACATCATATGATTACTGAATAAATAATACACATTTAAGTTTGGAAAATTTATATGTGATGTGATATTATCTCTTATGGTCACCTCTCATGTACATTCAGGTCACCAAGGCTATATGTATTTGATCAAAAATACAGTGAAAGCATTACTATTGTGAAATATTATTACAATCTAAGATAACTGTTTTCTCTTTTGAATACTGTAATTTATTCCTGTAATGTCAAAGCAGAATTTTCAGCGTCATTACTCCAGTCTTCAGTGTCACATGATCCTTCAGAAATCAGTCTAATATGCTGATTTGGTGCTCAAGAAACATTTCTCATTATTCTAAATGCTGAGCTGTAGTGCTGCTTAATTTTTGTGGGGACATACATTTTCAGGTTTCTGATAAATAGAAAGTTCAAAAGAAGAGCATTATTGGAAATAGATAATAATGACCCATGAATTAATCTTGGCTCATGAGCTGAAATACTAGGCTTTCTTCAAGCCCCAGTTAGGGTGGTACATGAACTGAAGTGAGATCCCCTGTCACCAGTGTCCTCTTTATGAAGGGACTTCACTGTAGGGACACTGCTACTGAGTGTACTGTAAAGTCACTAAAGTACATGCTGTTCTGTTCTTTGGATGAGTGCCTCGGTGGATGACCATGCACATTAGAAATTGACTAGTTTTAAAGTTCTTCTTCTTTAAATTCTTTAGTATGTTGAATTTATAAGACTCATGGAACATTGAACCTCTTGTCTGGTGTAAATGTACCTTAAAATGCTTAAATGAAACAATTTATGAGCAAATTCAGATGTTTCACCACTGGAATGGTGTTGGCAGGTTCACGCGACCCGCAGCAACTCCATGGGTATCGCCGGAGGATTCTCCCAAATGATCCGTGAGGGTGGAATCCGGTCACTGTGGCGAGGGAACGGTATCAACGTTTTGAAGATTGCACCTGAGTCTGCTATCAAATTCATGGCATATGAGCAGGTAGCTTGTTGTTTAAACATGTAATATGTTTAAACAATAAACATGTTTTAGCATAGCTATTTGAAACGTACAAAATCCTGGATATTTAAAGAACATTAATGTAGATAACCACAATTTTTGTAAACAAATGGTTGCATCTCTTTTGTTGATTTGTTTACATTGACAACTCTGTTCACACCAAGGATAATATTAACTATAACTATAAAGATATAGTTCTAAAAACCTGTCTAAATAACTATATTTATAACGGCACTGAGAAAAAATATTGTTGGAACGATTTTTCCCAGCTGATGAACGATAAAAACATTGACAGCCAATCAGAATCCATCCTTCTTTAAAGACCTCGAGCATTTAAAGCAGCAGACGACAAAAGTGCGTCACACGCTCAGAATAAACAGAACGATATCGTTCGCTGGTGTGGACGTTAATATAGTAATAGTTGTCTTTATAGTTATCATTCTTGGTGTCTTTAGCCAGACAAAAAACTGAATAACACTTTGTATGTTGCTCCCAGCTATTATATCTGTGATTTCTAAAGCTCTTTTGTCCTGTTCTTCAGATCAAGCGGCTGATTGGCAGTAATCAGGAGACGTTGGGGATCCTGGAGAGGCTGGTTGCTGGGTCTCTAGCAGGAGCAATTGCCCAGAGCAGCATCTACCCCATGGAGGTAAGACCATAAACAATAATTTAAGAAAAAAATGTAAGCACTGCTTTGAGAAAGAAAAATAAGCTTTTTGTTCTGTCATTTATTTATTTATTTTTTTATTTATTTTTTTATTTGATAGGGACAATGCTCATTGATCAACAAACAAGTTACTTGCTGTAAACAAGCCAGAGTTAGCTACAAGTGCTAGTTTCCATCTGTTGTCCCTAGCCAGATCTTAACAGGCACCCTAAAATACAAAAGTCAATAAAAATACACTATACAGTAGCAATGTAATAAATACAACAGGAATTTCAAAACAATGTAAGCATAATAAAAAAAAATAATAATAATAATAATAATAAATACAGCAGAAATTTCAAAACAATATAAGCATAAAAAATAAAATAAAGTATGTTCATGGACTTAAGTATTTGATGTATGATTACAATTGTAATTGTCCCTAAGCCAAGATTTAAGCTGTTTTTTAAAAGAGGAGAGACTATTACACTCCCTTAACTCATTGGGCAGACTATTCCAAAAAATTGTAGCTCTGACAGAAAAGGCTGTGTTTCCAATCCTACTTTGTCTATATTGAACTATGCAGTCCCCTCTGGTGGCTGATCTAGTTACTCTATTGGCCTTATCTTTCTGTTTTATAAACTGGCATAGTGGTGGTGGAGCAAGCCCACGAAGTACCTTAAAGACAAGACAGGCATCAGCATAGTGTCTAAAGTTTTCAAAGCTAAACATGTTGTGTTTTTTGATTATGTGACAATGATGATAGCTATTTCCCTTACGGTCCAATGTCTTTAATGCCTGTTTATAAAGTGACTCCAATGGTTGCAATGTTGTTTTATTGGCTTGCGACCAGCTAGTTAAACAATAAGCAAAATGTGAGAAGATCATCGCATGCAAGAAGAGCTTTGCGGCCTTCATTGATAGATATGATCTTATATACTTAAAATTTGCCAGGTTAAATTTAACAATATTGGCAACCTTTTTTGAATGCTTTTTAAATGAGAGTTGTGAGTCTAGGATAATTCCAAGATATTTAAAATCAGATACCACTCTAACCTTCTCTTGGTTAACAATTACCTCAGGGTCATAAGTCACAGTAGTTTGTTTTGTAAAATACATACATACTGTTTTATTTATGTTCAGGTGTAAGCATGAATTAATTAGCCATATGGATACCTTACTCATGGCCTCAGTCAGTTGGTGTGCAGCTTGTTGTTTATTTTTAGCATGCACGTAGAGGACTGTGTCATCTGCATACATTTGTAAATGTACAGATGGACAAACAGTAGGCAGGTCATTTATATAAAGACTGAACAGAAGGGGGCCCAGTATAGATCCTTGAGGGACACCTATTTTACAGTTTAGATATGTAGATTGAGTGTTGTTAATGCGTGTGCTTTGTTTTCTGTCAGATAAGTAAGATTTCATCCATTTAATTGCATTCCCACAAAAATTAAAATAGGATAATTTTGACAAAAGAACGTCATGATCGACGGTGTCAAATGCTTTTTTTAAATCTAAAAATATTGCACCCACCACGCCTCCTTTATCTAGATTCATTTTAATGTTCTCTATAAAAAAGCAGTTGGCTGTTTCTGTAGAGTGATTACTACGAAAGCCAAACTGCATTGGGTGCAGTGGTGTATGACCTTTACTAAGATGAGTAGTCAGCTGTTTCGCCACCCATTTCTCTGCTACCTTGGATATTACAGGTAGTATACTGATAGGCCTGTAGTTCTCCACCAGTGTTTTATCACCGGCCTTGAAAATGGGGGTTACCACAGCTGTTTTCCAGGAACTTGGGAAAATACATTGTTTAATTGATAAATTGATTAAATGTGTAAGAGGTTTGATTAAAGGCTGTTTATGAGTTTTAAAAAATACAGAATCAAAACCAAAGGCATCTTTAGCTTTTGAGTTCCTTAATGAACTTATGATATTCTCTACCTCAAGTTCACTAATTTCCTCAATTCTAAAAACAGGTTTGTCAATATCAATAGGAGTGCTCACTATATTACTAGCAATGCAATTCTGTGCCAATTCCTCAACTGATTGGATAAAAAAATTATTAAAAGTGTTTGCTATAATGTTGTCTTCTCTGGTTATGATTCCGTTTAATTTTAGTTCAAGTGCCGGTGCGCAATGCTGAGTATCTTTCCCAATTAATTTATTAAGATTGTTCCAGATTAATTTCCCGTCTCCCTTTGCATCATCAATTACTTTTATATAGAAATCTGCTTTGGCTTTCCTTATGTTCCTTACTACTCTATTTCTGAGGGATGTATAACTATACCAGTCACTTCTGAGTCCTGACTTAAGTGCAATCTTTAGTGAGGAATCTCTGTCCCTCATCTGTTTCCAGAGAGCCTCATTGAGCCAAGGTGGAGCATTTTTCTGTCTTGGTCTGTGTGTCATTCTTCTGCTATATGAAGATATTATAGTATTATAGTATTTAGATAATAATTGACCTCCCATGCATTTCTTGTATCATGTTTCTGTATTGTACCATTTTAAAAATTCCAGTTTTTAAGAAATAACTGCCATCTCAGAGTCTGAAACTAAATCAAGTTCTGGTGATGTCTTTCTACACCAAACAAAGTATTGCTTTTTTCAGATCTCTTGGAGTTTTAACAAAACACTTTTGTGTGTTTTTAAAGGTTTTAAAGACTCGTCTTGCCCTGGGAAGGACGGGTCAGTACTCTGGTATCGCGGACTGTGCTAAATATATATTTAGGAAGGAGGGTCTCACAGCCTTCTACAAGGGTTATGTTCCCAATATGCTGGGTATCATTCCTTATGCTGGAATAGACCTGGCTGTTTATGAGGTAAGTTTTTACACAGGAAAAAAAAAACAAATTTTTATCAGTGTTCTTTTTATTGTCAACTAAAACTATTAAAAAGGTTCCATTAATTGAAATAAATCTGAATTGTTTCAATTAAAGCATAGAAATATAATGCTTAAACGAAACAATGTATGGCTTATATATATATGACTAATAAAATTGAAAAAGCACAAAAAAGCACTCAAATTAAATCTGAAAATATAAAAATAAAAGCTTATTCAAAATATTAACAAAAACTATAATGGCATATAAATAATATTAAAATAACACTGGGCTACATTTGATTATTTTTTAAATGTGTGTCTAAATGTTTCATATATTTTATGTTTTATTTAATAAAAAGTATGTGTTATGTAATTATAATTATTTTATAATTAATTATATTATTATTTAATTGTTTTATCTGTAGACTCTAAAGGACTTATATTTATTTATTAAAATGTATGTCATATAATAATTATTTTATGATTAATTTATGTTGTAAATATTATTCTATTTTTTATCTGTAGACACTAAAGAACTCGTGGCTGCAGAGGTTTGCTACGGACAGTGTCAATCCGGGTGTGTTTGTGCTGCTAGCCTGTGGTACAATGTCTAGCACTTGTGGACAGTTAGCAAGCTACCCATTAGCCTTAGTGAGGACACGTATGCAGGGTCAAGGTAAGTCTTTAAACTCTCAAATACATCATTACAAGGCTTGATTCTTTACTACTATTATCATTCACTAAGTAAACTATTATTGTTTCTCTGTCACAGTCTAATGGATTTATTTTCACTTGCGTTTTGTTCTCGTTCTCCATCGGTTAGCGGCTTCTCAGGAATGCAGCCCTCAGATGACCATGACTGGTCTCTTCAGACACATTGTACGGACAGAGGGTGCAATTGGACTCTATAGAGGCTTGGCGCCCAACTTTATGAAGGTCATCCCTGCTGTTAGCATCAGCTACGTGGTTTATGAGAACCTAAAGATCACCCTTGGCGTCCAATCCCGGTGAGGGGAAGCCAAAGACTGTTAAATCCTTAATGGCTTTTGTTTTTCCTCTCAACTTTTCTTTTGGACCAGTGAAAGAGATCGTCCAAGAGGGCCGGATTGCACTCAAGGGGAAGTGTAGAAACACTTGGCCAAGAAAGAGCTTGCATGATGGGAAGAAGAAACCTTTGCGTCAAAGACCTAACGTTTGAATTTGATCTGTGAATGTAAGAGTGAGTAACTGGAATGTACAGTATTAGAACAGGGCAAAAAAAAAATACAATCCTAGCTGCAAGTAAAATGTGAGCACCTCAAAATGGCATCTGTATTGGATCCCAACACTCCCTTATTCCAATCCTGAGGTCATGTGAGGTCACCAGGTTGTGGTAGTTATATTTTAGCAGGGACCAAGAATTTGCAAGATATGCTTTTTGGAAAGGAAGGGCCAGACACCTGATGGATTCAAAGAGCCAGATTTACTAAAGCATTTAGTATATGCAACTTTTCTCTAAGAAAATAAATAACACTTCATCCATTAATTTATTCATTTAAACTGCACAACTGGAATTGAATGTGCTAAAGGCTTTGGCAGATATGATGCTAGTAATCCTGACGCAGCCCTTTCAGATCACTGACTCGTTCTTCCACTGGATGGCAGTGTTCTGTAATAAAGGGCTGGCTGGGCAAGGCTCCCATTTTCAGTCACAATTTCTTATAAGATCACCCACATGCTTGCATTTCGCTCACATCATTTATTACTTGTATTATTACGTTAACTGACATGCCAGTTTTGACATCTTAAAAGTTACAAGTGTAACAAGGGAATTATTCTTATTCATCAAATGGTCCAAATAATATTGTTGAGGGCTTCTCATTGTTGGTTTTTTAAATGTTGTTTACAACATTCATTGAAAGTTACTATAAAAAAAAGATTCCATGAAATTAAGAATACTAGACATGTGCACACACTCCTAATGGTGATTGGCAGCTAATCAAGCGTTAAGAAAAAAGTTTCAACACTGGGTCAGTTTGAGAATAAAATGACCTGGGTTTGAGAATTCAGCACCAGCTTAAATGTGTCGGGTTGAGTTCCATGTCTAGGTAGACACTGTTTGGTCTAAAGTTGGAGAAAGCAATGCTACTATTTGATTTGTTTTTACATTAAAACAATCCTGGATAATTAACTGATAAATGATCTGCTCAACTGCAGTGTAAATATAACTTCTCACCAGTATTAGTTTGTTAACCTTTCAAACAGGACTATAACACTCTAGTCAAGTAACATATTTAAGCACTTTATTTTAATAAAAAATAAACCAGACTTGAATTTTTAGGAGGATTTATAATGGAATGATATTCAGTAGTTGTAGTGGTTGTGATTTAAGTAAATATATTATTTTCAGCATTTATGTTTAATATTTGTATCAGGTTGGGGGGAAAAAGTTTAAGTTTTTGTAAAGAAAACACTAGAGAGGTTTAAGTTAGGATTTCTTTTGAACAATGTAGTTGCTAATGACTCTACTCTGCAGCAGTCGGCAAATATCTTGTATATTTGGATATGACATTTGTCAGGATATAGGCACCCCAATGTTTCAAATGTGCATTTTTTTTATTGAAAAAGAAAAAATAAGTTGCACTTAAAGCTATTGCATGTGAAGCCCAAAATCCCTCTAGTTCAATGGGTTTTTGCCCTTTGTTGTTCTACAAAACTTTAGTATTAATATAGTTGCCTTCATTATAAATAAAATAAAGCTGCTTTTAGACTCTGGGGGAAACGTAGGGAGATGGTGTTAATGGCTGAAATATTTTTCTAATGATTTGATTCTCAGGGAGAATTTAGTGGTTTCCAATACTCATGTGCAGATGTGCCTCCTTAGTCTCGTCTCCACTGAGCTCTGGAACTGAAATCTGCATATAAACATAAATAACTTGTATGACTGAGTTTGTGCAGGCCTAACAGTTTGCCTTTTTCAAGCTTCAATACATGACTTTGATCGGTGAAAAAATAGCAAATACCCTTCAGTGTCCCGGTGGTAGTTGAACAGAACTCAGCTGTGGCCCAATTCCCTTTGAATCAATTCATTCTTTGTAATGCATGTATGTGTGTCTTGTCTGAATATGCACAAATTGCACTGTGAAGTCTTTACAGGGCTTTAAAAGCTGTATTTGAGCCTGCCTCATAATGAATGCAGCTTTCAATTTTTTTTGTTTGTTTTGCATTTTGCACCTTTTACAGGAGAAATCTTTGGACTGCTCTGAACTTGTGGGCTAGATCCATTTGTGTGGTAGTCCTGAGACTAAAGGCTTTAGATTTATGTTTGTTTGTGGTGTTCAACACAATCAAGGAATGCCGCTCTGAGACTCCCTGTAATCTATTGCCTTACTGTTCAGCTGTTTTGGTAGCCGTGTTACGGCTTCTGTGAGTTTGAATGCACGGTGTTTGCCGTGTATATCAAAATGTACTGTTGCTGGGGTCCCCTGAATATCATAAACATACATGTTAATGAAATATCCAAATATCTGTACTGCAAAACATATCTAAACATATCTAGATGTGATGACACATCTGTGAAGTTTTAGTTGATGCTGAGATGTACAAATCAATGCAAGAATGTTTACTGGAAAATAAACTGTCCTCTGTAAAATGCATAAACTGAATGTAGAGCGGAAATATTTATGTTTGTACAATAAGGTTAAATAAAGTTATTCTTGATTCTGTTTATGAAGGTTGGCATTCCACCATATTGGTTACTTTGCTCTTCCAAATGAGACTTTATTCTTTGAAAGTTTATTTAAAAACTGAATATAATAACACATTTTTTCTAGTCAATATTAGTTCATTTTGTTTTTTACAGGGTTAATGTGGTAATATTTGAATGATGAAGATGAAGAAGAAGAAGAGCGACTCAGCAGACTAGCGCAGGACTAATCACATGACAGCGGTTTGCTCTCTGAGGAAGTCATTCATCCTCAGTTCTAGAGTAAATACTGGATGTGTTTCGAAACCTGCTGAGCTGCCTACCTAGACAGCATTTGGGACGTTCCGAGTCAGCGCAGCACTGATTCGAGCTGCGAGTAAAGAGCTAGGTAGCCTGCTAGGTTTTGAGGCACAGTCAGCCACTATGTGCCTAAAGGGAGTTCCCAAACTGAATATTCCCTGACTGGTTTTCTGTTATTTCAACTATTATATGCCACTCCAGCGATAATGTTCACTGGTCACGAGTTGCAGGCAGTGAAAACAGGATCCGGACTCATACGAGAGTCGACTCGACTGGGCGATTGTTGTCATATCCTTAATGTGTTGGTCTTCTTGTAGAGAAATGTTGTCATTCGAGGAAGCTAAAGCGAGGTTAGAAACTGCAGGGCAGAGTCATGTTTTACAGTTTTGGGCTGAACTTTGTGCGGAAGAAAGGGATACAATTCTGGAGGAGATATCTCAGCTTCAGCCCGAAGAGTTACTCGAGCATTGCCGAGCAGCTGCAGCGGCTGCAAGCCGACACTCGAGTGCTGATGGTCGGCTAGACGAGCGGATGGAGCCCGTTCCTCCAGAGTTCATTGGAAGTGTGCGTAAAAGTGACAAAGAAACACTTCAGATGTGGGGTGATGAAGGTACAAGAGCTCGTTTTGACTCTAACGTTCAAAATAATGTACAATACTGTTGCAATGTGTTCAAAAGTAGCATGGCATTGATTTAACGCACATTAAAAGACTTCTTTCTTCAGGGTTATTGCAGATTTCACGGGGCAGAGTGGCTGTTTTGCTGTTAGCTGGTGGTCAGGGGACTCGACTTGGAGTGTCATATCCCAAGGGCATGTACAACGTTGGACTTCCAAGTGGGAAAACCTTGTACCAGCTCCAGGCTGAGCGTATCCAGAAGGTGCAAGAGCTGGCCAAAGTAAAGCATGGTTGTAAATGCACAGTACCATGGTATGGTTCTTTTAGTTGCAGTCCACATGTGGGTGTTTTGCAACTATAAACACTTTTGGCCCCGTGGATGTTGGGTCATTTTTCCGGACCAGCAAATGTCATTTCCTGCACATTGTGGAAATTATGTAGTGTTTAACAGGGAAAGTAAGAACTGATTAGAATGTAAATGTGTACCTTGAAATGCAATGTAAGTCGCTTTGGATAAAAGCGTCTGCCAAATGGATAAAAGCGTCTGCCAAATGCATAAATGTAAATGTAACAGAATTTAATGGTGGAAATTATTAATAAATAATAATAATAATAATTATATGTTGGGTTTTCATATTTGAAGGTCTGGGAAAGTGGTAATATAATATTGACATGGTAAACAAAAAAACTTTTTATAAAAAGAAAGATCTGTTACCCCTGGGACAGTGCTTGTAGTTGAAGAAACCCTAATGCATTTATCCATAAACAACCTCCAAATAACAGAAGAACATGTATTGAATTGTTTTTAAATTATGTGTTTTTAAATGATGTGTGTTTAGGTATATAATGACCAGTGAATTCACCCTGGGACCCACAGAGAACTTCTTCAAAGACAATGAATATTTCGGTCTATGTCCACCCAATGTGGTCATGTTTGAGCAAAGGATGATACCAGCAGTTGACTTTGATGGAAAGATCATCCTGGAGAAGAAAAGCAAAATAGCCATGGCACCAGGTCAGAGAAAAATTGTTTGGCTTCGGAAGGAATTCTAATTTTGTATGTTATTTATTAGTTGTTTTTTTTAATTAGTAATAGGTAGTTCAGAAATAAATAAAATAAAAATACATTTAAATAAAATTATATTTTTCTTGCCCACTTCAGATGGAAACGGCGGCCTCTATCGTGCCCTAGTGGACAACAAGATTTTAGAGGACATGGAAAGAAGGGGTGTGGAGTATCTTCACGTGTACTGTGTAGACAACATCTTGGTGAAGCTGGCAGACCCAGTCTTTATTGGCTTTTGTGTAAACAAAGGAGCAGACTGTGGTGCCAAGGTAAAAATATACTGCTTGTAGGCCTGAATTGGATACCATCCTTTTTCCTTTTTTTTTTACCATTATTAGTTTATTTTTATTTATTGTTTTTGCATCCAGTTAGCTATGTTTACCTTTTTTCTGGTCAGGTGGTAGATAAGGCCTATCCTGCAGAGCCTGTTGGAGTGGTATGTCGTGTGGACGGTCTGTATCAGGTGATTGAGTACAGTGAGATCCAACCAGAGACCTCAGAGCTGCGAGGCCCAGGAGGAGAGCTTCTGTTCAGTGCTGGGAACATCTGCAACCACTTTTTTACACAAGGTTTCTTAAAGGAAGTGGCTGAGTATGTCATCGACAATATGTGTAAAGTGTTTCTTATGTGTAAACTCAACCATGGTCCATAAATGGCTTTTTTTTTGCTATAATATAATAAATTATAATGTTTTGTTATACTGTATTATAATAACAAGGAGTAGGATGCGCAATATCAAGAAGACTAGAACTTTTATCGACTTTTGTCAATGTACAGGTACAAGATTAGTTATACCTGTACAGGGACACCTAGTATATCCTAATACATCCAAGATGTAACTGTTTGCATAGTCAATTTTGAGGTTAATCCCAAATAGCACATAGTCTCAGAATACGAGCATTTTATTAAAGAATTGGCAACGTATTATCTCGGATTAATCTGCAAACAAAGCCCTTTGTACAAAATAATCCCTCTTTCAATGCTTTTTCCTTGCAGAAAGTTTGAGTGTCAGCTGAAGCAGCATGTGGCAATCAAAAAAGTGGCATTTGTGGATGGAGAGGGAAACCTGGTGAAACCAACCAAACCCAATGGCATCAAAATGGAGAAATTTGTCTTTGACGTCTTTAAGTTCTCAAAGTGTGTTTACTGCTAGTGTTAATTTTGGCAAGTTTGGAAATTGCCATCTTCCTTATCATAGTCTCTTCTTGCAGGAAATTTGTCGCCTTTGAGGTGTTGAGAGAAGAGGAATTCTCACCCCTGAAAAATGCTGATGGGGCTCCTCTGGATACACCAACTACAGCACGCCGATCCTTGTTAGCGCAACATTACCGCTGGGCTCTGGCAGCTGGTGCAAGCTTCCAGGATGAACAAGATAAACCCATCCCCTCAAAACACAGGTGATAACACAAAATACCCTTCATAAAATAAGAAAATATTAAAGGATTAGTTCACTTTAAAAAAAACTTTTGCTGATAATTTACTCACCCCCATGTCATCCAAGATGTCCATGTCTTTCTTTCTTCAGTCGAAAAGAAATTAAGGTTTTTGATGAAAACTTTCCAGGATTTTTCTCCATATAATGCACTTTACTGGGCACCAAACGGTTCAAGGTCCAAAAGACAGTTTCAGTGCAAACTGCAAACTGTTCAAAGGCTTTAAACGTTTCCAGACGATGAATAAGGGTCTTATCAAGCGAAACGATCGGTCATTTCAAAAATAAATAACAAAGTTTAAGTTTTATAAGCTCAAATGCTCGCCTTGCTCTGTTCTGTGATGCACGTTCGTGACTCTCCTGTTCGAACTCGTTCATCAAAATTAACAAATCTTTTTTCGAGTCATTTGATTCATTTAACGCGTCATTTGATTCATTTAACGAACGAAATGAACGAATTGCCTCGGAAAAAGATTCGTTCATTTTGATGAACGAGTTCGAACAGGAAAGTCACACAGAACAGACCAAGGCGAGCATTTGAGCTTATAAAACGTAATTTTGTTTTATTTTTTTTGTAATTTTTTTATGAGCGATCGTTTTGCTTGATAAGACCCTTATTCATCGTCTGGTGTCGTTTAAAGCCCTTTGAACAGTTTGCAGTTTGCACTGAAACTGTCTTTTGTACCTTGAACCGTTTGCTGCCCAGTAAAGTGCATTATATGGAGAAAAATCCTGGAATGTTTTCATCAAAAACCTTCATTTCTTTTCGACTGAAGAAAGAAAGACATGGACATCTTGGATGACATGGGGGTTAGTAAATTATCAGCAAAAGTTTTTTTAAAAGTGAACTAATCCTTTAAGTCATTTACTTAAAGTAAATAAGGCACCTTTTACCAAAGATTGTTTTGGATAGTGTCTTCAAAATTACTTAAACGGATAGTTCAACCAAAAATGAAAATTCTGTCATCACTTACTCAGTTGCATGTCATTCCAAACCCATAAGACCCTTGTTCATCTTGAAACACAAATGAAGATTTCTGTCACTCCTTTGAAAGTCTATGTATTTACCTAAAACTATGACCGTTCAAAACGTTCAGAAATCCATATGAAACGAGTGGTTTAATCCAAGGCTTCTGAAGAGACATGATCTCAGGTAATTCAACAGATTGAATTTAGGCTTTTATTCTGTACATAGATAATTATATACATATATTGCTAAAATACGTTGAACAAAAGCTCAAACGTACTTGGTTGACGCACGAGAACAAACATGTCTCTTCAGAACACTTGGATTAAACCACTCAATTCATATGGATTTTTTTTTTTTTTTACGATCTCTTTATGGATGTTTTGAAGCGTCATAATTTTGGTAAATAGACCTTCAATTAGAGGGACGGAAATCTTTCAGATTTCATTAAAAACATCTTTATTGGTGTTTTGATGATGAACGAAAGTGTTATGGGTTTGGAACAACATGAGAAGAGTGAGTAATTGATGACACAATGAGTTAACTATTCCTTTAATGTAAATGTCATAATTTGTCAAAAAAAAAAAATCCTTTTCCTTTAAGTTTTCCTTTTCATTTTCCTTTCCCAAAAATGAAAATTCTGTGATCCTTTACTCACTCTCAAGTTTCTGAACACAAAATATATTTTGAAGAATATGGTTAACCAAACAGTTGATGGGGCCCCATTGACTTCCATAGTGTGGGAAAAAAATACTAGGGAAGTCAATGGGGCCCATCAATTATTTGGTTACAGACATTCTTCAATATTATATTCTTTTGTGTTCAGCAAGTTTGGAACTTGAGTGTGAGTAAATGATGACAGAATTACTATTTTGGGGTAAATTTGGGTTAATGTAAATTTCCTGAAGTATTATAATCCTAGAAATTTTAAAAAATCAACACCATTCTCGTTATGAATCCAATACCTTCCAACTGGTTTAACCCGAAAGGAATTTACCCGTTCATGTGGAAAATGAACTATTTTGAGGCAGTTCCTAAAATGGACAGCAGGGTATGTGTGGTTTACAATGGCTGACTTGGTCTACTCTTTCTTTTTCAGTATGGCACAGAATGAAGACCCCCCAGCAATTTGCGAAATCTCTCCACTTGTATCATACTTTGGCGAGGTAAACATGGAAGTACTACTTTTATGACAATACGGAGCTTTTACTTTAAACTGGAGCTTCGAATACTGATAATACAGTCCAGTTATTGGATTTCAGGTTAACATGTTTAGCACAAAAGTCATTCAATTACAAAATGTTAGAGTTAGTACAAAAAGAGGCAAGATTAGCCCTGAGGCACAGAGTGAAAAAAAGGATAACAAGCCAGTGTGAACATATGGAGCATGATGTGAAACAGAGCGAATGATGTCAGAGTAGTGTTCCTGTTCTCATGAGAGCAAAAGAGACAGCTGTTACACTCCATCACTTTCTCTCCTTTTTTCATTAACTTCTTACCCTCAGTATATCTCAATATAGGATGGATACATTTTAACTGCTGTGTTTTACAGGGTCTGGAACATTTCCTGGAACAGAAGAACTTGAATTCCCCTTTTCTACTTGATGAGAATGAAGCCAAGAACCTTGTGTAAACTACAAATTCCAACGGAGGATCATGTTTAGGAAATCAAAGGGATGTTTACAAATAATAATAATAATAAAATGTCTGTCTTTATTTAATTAAAAATACAGCAAAAACAGTAATTTTGTGAAATACTTTTTCTCTCTCTCCAGTCTTCAGTCACCTGATTCTTCAGAAATCATTCTAATATGCTGATTTCAATTTCAAAAACCGTTGTTCTGCAATTTTTTGAAACCATGATACTTTTTCTTCCCAGGATAGTTTGATATTTTAGAAGTACATTACTGAAATTCTTCAAAAGGTTAAAGTAGAATTTACTCATGATAATAAAATAAACATGATTTTAAAATACAATGTAATATTTGTGTTAGTTTGTAATGCCTTTCGTTTGATACAACTTTGCAATAGCAATAAAATCACACTAATCCAACTTGTGTTTTCTTTTCCCTCGGCTTTGCCTTTGCATCACGAGGCTGACTCCAGCTCCTTTTTCGCCAGCTCCTTATTCGTCGAACTATTCGTTCCACCTTAAAATGTTGGATGGTTGTTAACCCCTCCCTCTCGGTGCTTTTGGCCGTATTTCTTAAAGGAACAGTTGTATGTGAATTACAAGCCTGTGGATCGGGCAGCATTTTTCATTTAACAGTGATTTTCAATTAACAGTGAAAAAAATAGCCAATTCCTGAAAATATCATCTTGTCTGCCTCTATAAATGGTGTAAGCTATGTGGTAAATTATTGTTTTGTAATAACTAAATGTTTTTTTTTTAAATATGGAGAAACGTGACAGTATGTTTCCAACTGAGATTTAATGTAATGTAATTTCTGTTCTTTATTAGAAGTTATCCATTACTCCAGTCTAACATATATATATTTATATATATATACACACACACACACACATATATATATATATATATGTGTGTGTGTGTGTGTGTGTGTGTGTATGTATGTATGTTTGTATGTATGTATGTATATATATATATATATATATATATATATATATGTGGGTGTGTGTGTGTGTGTATACTGGACAAAGCATACTGGAGGTGTCATTACTTTATTATTTCACAAGTTCTCAAAAAAACAGAAACGTAGAGGCATAGATGAATTCATTCCTAAATGAAATCTTGCATTACAATATTTTCTTATGTGTTATTGTTGAAATATGGTACCCAGAATATGCCTCTCCATGCAACTTTATGTACCGATGTAGCATACTGGAGGTGTCATTGCTTTAGTATTTCACAAGTTCTCAAAAAAACAGGAACGTAGAGGCATAGATGAATTCATTCTTAAATGAAATCTTGCATTACAACATTTTCTGATGTGTTATTATTGAAATATGGTACCCAGAACATGCCACTCAATGCAGCTTTCTGTGCCGACAAAGCACACTGGAGGTGTCATTACTTTATTATTTCACAAGTTCTTAAAAAAACAGGAACGTAGAGGCATAGATTAATTCATTCTTAAATGAAATCTTGCATTACAACATTTTCTGATGTTTTCTTGTTGAAATATGGTACCCAGAACATGCCCCACCATTGCAACTTTATGTGCCTACATAGCATACTGGAGGTGTCATTACTTTATTATTCCACAAGTTCTCAAAAAAACGGGAACGTAGAGGTTTAGATAAATTCACTCCTAAATGAAATCCTGCATTACAACATTTTCTGATGTGTTATTATTGAAATATGGTACCCAGAACATGCCCCACCATTGCAACTTTATGTGCCGACAGCATACTGGAGGTGTCATTACTTTATTATTTCACAAGTTCTCAAAAAAACAGGAACGTAGAGGCCTAGATTAATTCATTCTTAAATGAAATCTTGCATTACAACATTTTCTGATGTGTTATTATTGAAATATGGTACCCAGAACACGCCCCACCATTGCAACTTTATGTGCCGACATAGCATACTGGAGGTGTCATTACTTTATTATTTCACAAGTTCTCAAAAAAACAGGAACGTAGAGGCCTAGATTAATTCATTCTTAAATGAAATCTTGCATTACAACATTTTCTGATGTGTTATTATTGAAATATGGTACCCAGAATATGCCCCACCATTGCAACTTTATGTGCCGACAGCACACTGGAGGTGTCATTACTTTATTATTTCACAAGTTCTTAAAAAAACAGGAACGTAGAGGCATAGATTAATTTATTCTTAAACGAAATCTTGCATTACAACATTTTCTGATGTGTTATTATTGAAATATGGTACCCAGAACATGCCCCACCATTGCAACTTTATGTGCCGACATAGCATACTGGAGGTGTCATTACTTTATTATTTCACAAGTTCTCAAAAAACAGGAACGTAGAGGCATAGATTAATTCATTCTTAAATGAAATCTTGCATTACAACATTTTCTGATGTGTTATTATTGAAATATGGTACCCAGAATATGCCCCACCTTTGCAACTTTATGTGCCGACATAGCATACTGGAGGTGTCATTACTTTATTATTTCACAAGTTCTCAAAAAAAAACAAGAAGGTAGAGGCCTAGATTAATTCATTCTTAAATGAAATCTTGCATTACAACATTTTCTGATGTGTTATTATTGAAATATGGTACCCAGAACACGCCCCACCATTGCAACTTTATGTGCCGACATAGCATACCGGAGGTGTCATTACTTTATTATTTCACAAGTTCTCAAAAAAACAGGAACGTAGAGGCCTAGATTAATTCATTCTTAAATGAAATCTTGCATTACAACATTTTATGATGTGTTATTATTGAAATATGGTACCCAGAACATGCCCCACCATTGCAACTTTATGTGCCGACAGCATATTGGAAGTGTCATTGCTTTATTTTTTCACAAGTTCTCAAGAAAACGAGCACGTAGAGGTAGAGATAAATTCACTCCTACACGAAATCCTGCATTACAACATTTTCTGATGTGTTATTGTTGAAATATGGTACCCAGAACACGCCCCACCATTGCAACTTTGTGTGCCGACATAGCATACTGGAGGTGTCATTACTTTATTATTCCACAAGTTCTCAAAAAAACAGGAACGTAGAGGCCTAGATTAATTCATTCTTAAATGAAATCTTGCATTACAACATTTTCTGATGTGTTATTATTGAAATATGGTACCCAGAATATGCCCCACCATTGCAACTTTATGTGCCGACAGCACACTGGAGGTGTCATTACTTTATTATTTCACAAGTTCTTAAAAAAACAGGAACGTAGAGGCATAGATTAATTCATTCTTAAACAAAATCTTGCATTACAACATTTTCTGATGTGTTATTATTGAAATATGGTACCCAGAACATGCCCCACCATTGCAACTTTATGTGCCGACAGCATATTGGAGGTGTCATTGCTTTATTTTTTCACAAGTTCTCAAGAAAACGAGCACGTAGAGGTAAAGATAAATTCACTCCTAAACGAAATCCTGCATTACAACATTTTCTGATGTGTTATTGTTGAAATATGGTACCCAGAACATGCAACTGTGTGCCGGCGAAACATACTGGAGGTGTAATTACAAATAACACATTAGAAAATGTTGTAATGCAGGATTTCATTTAGGAGTGAATTTATCTAAACCTCTACGTGCTCGTTTTTATGAG